TGTTGCGCTTTCGTAACAGAGTCGATCACTCGCTGTCTTTCAACAAGTTCTGTGCCCATGAAATACCCTTCTTGTCGAGGTCTTCCGTGTGTTCCATCTGGAAATGTTATAAGACCTTGACCATCAACTCTTCCATTTTGAAATCTTCCCTCAAACCGCATACCATCGCTTCGAGTAAACGTACCGAAACCGCTGTACTTGCCGTTTTCAAATTCGCCCTCAAACTTCGAACCATCGGGGAAATTTGCAACTCCATGGCCGTGGCAAAGACCGTTCTGAAACTGACCCATGTACTTCGTACCGTCGACTAAGGTCAGACTACCGACGCCGTGTTTTTTTCCTGCGTCGTTCCATTCGCCATCGTAAATGTCTCCAACGGGATAAGTGAACTTGTGTCTTGCAATAACTTGCGAACTGGTTGCAGCCATGAAAGAAAGTTGCGGGAAGTTTGTCAACGAAGGGGAGCAAAAAATGCCAGATGTTCAGCGAAAAAGTGTTAACTCTTTTTTAGCACCCCAGAGAGCAGTACAATAGTAGAGAAAATCATGCAGAAAACTAATCGAAGTTTCAAAACAATCACTCATGTGTAAATGTTCCAGGCGTTTCTCTCTCATCTCCCATAAGCCATTGCAACTTTGTTATAAAATGTCAGCGGTTTCTCGTTTTAGCGCTGTTTTACAAATTCAGAAATTCAATTTCATAAAGTCAAAACAAAAGTTTTTTTTGGCTTCGATTTTGAGAAATATTGATGTCCCCTGCTGTTTTCAGCAGGTTCGTTTCAGTTTATTGAGGTTCGTTTTCTTACAATTGCAAATGATTTTACTGCATATTCCCTTGGCATCTGCTAATACGTCAGTTTCGCGTTTTTTTACACATCGGAAAGTTGCTACAGATTTTTCTTCCTTGGAACTTTCTCCAATTTGAGCAACAGGGCTCGATAGCTTCCTCGGCACAAATTAAGCTTTTAGGATGGGCTCAATGTGGAGCTCTGCTCATGGAAAAGCTCTGCATAACTCACATCTACATGAGGAAAAGGGAGAATCAGTTCAGGACGACAGTAATCCAGACGTCAATGATGAAGACATTTTCTACGAGACAGTGGACACTTTTTCGACACAAAAAGAAGATTTAGTTCTTCAAGAACTTGAAAATCAAAACGCCTGTTTATCTAATGAGGAATCATACACGAAATCAAGATTGCACTTCCCCAATGATGAAAAAATTATACGGTCTGATTGCTCTGAAAACTGTGAGAGTACTAATAGTATTGACAGCAAAGGCAGCGCTTCTGTAAAATGTGAAGGATTTAGTAGTGTTGTTGACAAGTCAACTGTCTGGACTGCTCATAGTTCTCCAACTGAAGACCTTTACACAGAATCAATGGCTGTCCGTTATGTGAGCTATCAAGAGGAGGGGAAAATACACTCTCTACATCAATCCCCTAATATGAACAATAATAGTAAGAGTACTTTGGAAACTGAGCGCAATGATGGAATTCGGAGTGTAAGTCCATGTAAAGAAGAGAAGAAAAATGTCAAGGAGTGCAGGTCTTTTTCCCTGCCGTTAATCACAGAGGAAGACGTTTTCACTGGGAGGCATGCGAAAAGCACATCTGAATCAGAATTCGAGAGACCAGTGAAGATATCTCCACAAATAAAATCTAACATTCCTTCTTCATGTGCGTGGCAGATTGATGTTGACTGTTTTAAATCAAAGAAAAGAAAAAAGCCACCTCAGAAGTATCTAAGAAACAAAGAGAATACTGTAGAGTCTGATTACAATGACGGCAGCCACAGAAAAGTGCAACAACATCTGGTTTCCATGGAAATTGCCACTCAGGAAATGATGGAGAGAAGGAAAGTCTTGGATCTCAGAAGATGGTAATTGATACAGTCAAGCCTTCACTGACAACCACCTCTCTACAATGGCCACCTCTCTCTAACGACCACTTTTTTTGGTGGACAGTCCAGTCTTCTGTCCTCAAGGTGGCTGTTGTCGAGAGGTTCAACTGTACAACTGTTTGTTAGAAAACAGTTAATATTCTTGGAAGTATGACTTTACACTGAAAGATTCTTATCTGTTTTCATCCTTAACAAATATATATTTATTTTACATTTTTTAGAATTTAGCTTCACATCTTTTAACACTAGAATAACATTGTATTTCTCAACAGGTATTGTATAAGCCGACCCCAGTATAAAAAGTCCTGTGGGATTTCTTCTCTTGTATCCTGTTGGAATTTCCTGTTTAGCTCACTTGGTGCTGGCAGGTAAAACATTCTGATAAAGAATGAGTACTTTCACAATGACTCATGTAAGAACTAAAATTAATTTAATGCAGATCTTTTGAAATTTCTAATTTTTCAGCAAAAAGCCACTGACTCAAGAAGAGGCATTAACAATATTGGGATTTAAGCCTCCATTTGGAGAAATAAGATTTGGACCATTCACAGGAAATGCAACTCTTATGAGGTGGGTAGACATCTACTGTGATTGTGATTCAGCACGTCATCCAAAAGACAAAAGATAGCCTGTGAATACAGCCGTCTCTTCTCGCTCTTTGCTGCTAGGGACTTTTCAGAGGAGAGACATGTACATCTGCACCTCAATGACAGAAATTCCATACTGATGACTTAAAATCTGTCCAGAATCTCATCAGATTTAATTGGTCGACTTCAATATTATTTTGTTTTACCTACTGTTTACAAATGATGGTCAAAACACAAAAGGTCACAAGATTAATTGACCATTCCAAAAATTTCCGGTTCCCTTATCTCTATCTTATTCTCATTGTGTGCTACAAGAATCATGTAGCGCAATTAAGACACAATTCATGTCACACAGGAAACAAGGCGCACCTATTGATCTTGTAACTTACTCTTTCAAGAGCAGTACTGTATTTAGTGAATGTTATGTGTGTGTTGATTGCAGATGGTTTAGACAGCTAAACAACCACTTTGGAGTGCGGGGTGAAGCTTACTACCTCTATAAACCTAAAGGAAAGAGTCGCACCATTGGTCTCAGTGGAGAGGAAGCCTTGCGTCGGCTGAAAAATGGACTGCATGACCCTCAGATGGCCTTTATCTATCACAGTTACAATCATTATTTTTGTCCCATTGGTTATGATGACTCACCCAGCAAGGCTGTTGATGCTTACAGGTGGGTATTAACCCTAGATTTATTAAAGACACCTGAAGAGTGACCAACGTTGGTTTTCTCCTAATAAAATCAATACATCATCAAGTGAACCGACAATGAGAATTAATAATATGACTAGTGACCAAGTGAACAATACTGAATTGATCGTAAATCAAATTCTCTCAACTAATCCTTGAAGGAACGGTATGAAGATTAGTCTGGAGAATTTGTCTGTGGGAAATTTGGCCAACATACAGATTTTCCTTAGTTACTTACCCTTTAGAATTTCTATGGTTGCTAATAAATTGGTACAGGTTGTGTAGTGATGTCATGTCCTACAAGATGTATGCCATGAATAATTTAGTGTCTTTGGGGATTTTTATGCATTAGGGATGCATGCGCAAGACTCAGAGGTAACAAAATCACTGATAATCTCAAAGAAACCCGTTATGTTTAACTATAATTTCAGGTCACAGTTGTACGAAGATGAAGTGGAAACATGGATTTTGATTGGAGACACCAGCTGCAAACATCCTAGCATTCACTGCAAGAGGTACTGAGTCCCAAGTGTCTTTTGATCCACTTATAAATTCTCCTTATGTCTACTTGTGAACAAAGGGAGAATTTGTCATGAGATCAAGAGTCACTTGGAGCTATTTTGTCAACTGCATTGTTTCCTAATAATTTAACAGGCAAGGCATGGCTTAACCTTATATCTTTTCTGACCCAAATTTAATAATAGTTTAACACCCCATTTCTTACCTCAATAATGAACACCCTACAAGATGTACTAGTTCAAAAAATACATCCAAAGTCTTAACTGATTTTATAACCAAAAATGTGGTAAAGAGAAAATAATAATAATTCCACCCCCCTATAGCTTAAGTTATAAGTAGGTCGAATATGATCATTTGTGCAGGTGTAGTCCTGAGTAGTTATAAATAGTTGTATTTATCTTCCTTGTGAAAGGCACTGAAAATGACTACCGCGTAGGTTGTCAAAATAGTACTTCACAGGACTACATTCAATTGGACAATATTACACCTCTAGAAGTTAATAATTTTCTGAATTTCCCAGGTGGAGTGACATTGACACAGACCTGAACAACGAGTCCCCCTTCTACCTTAACATTCGTCAACTTCATGAAGGAATTAAACAAAGGAACACTAAAAAGACAGGTGGGAATCTGCACTGTATCATGGCTTTTCAGAAAAGTACATTCCAGGGCTTTAAAAAATTGAAAATTCCAAGTCAACGAATACAACAAATGGAGGAAGAAGAAAATCACAGTAATAGCAGTGGGGAGGAGGAGAATAGTCAAAGTGACTCCAGTGATGAATAGGTGATCTTTGAGTTAGTGTGACTCCTAAGTTTGTTCCAGGCAACATCTACTCTCCAACTACTTCTTTCCAGTGTAAGCTACTGACAATTTATCATAATCAAGGAGTGGCGGTTCTTTACTGCAATATGTTTAAAGGGCTACTGTCAAACATCAGTTCTGTTTCCTACAAATTTGCTATCTTTGGGACCAACAAGACAAGGGTACTGTTTTATGCCATTTCAAAAGACTGGACGTATCATGAAAACCCTGGAAGTGGCTGTCTGTGAACTTCAACTTTTTTACAGGCCTTTTGCAAGCACAAAAGGCACACACTTCCACCACACTGTGGATTGCTTTATGTCTGCCTTCATGAGTCCACTAAAAGCAATTTTAAAAGCATCTTCAGATATTCAGAGTGCAAAGAAAGTCATTTTTACAGCTTGCCATTCGGGCAAGCTGAAGCTAACATTTACTAGCCCAAATATCATTTCAACTAGCCCCAAAAACGTTTTGACGAGCAGATTGATTTCACAGTTCTTCTGTAATTTGAATTCCTCAAAAAAATTCACTTGCCCATTAGGCAAGTTAATAACAGAATTCACTAGCCCAGTAGCAA